TAATCTAATTGTCCAGTCAAACTAACTTCGCCACTGTCCTCATTAACTTCAAACATGTGTCTAACGTCATCCATAGTGTTTTTGATTGAGTATGTTACTTTGCCATTTAATGTACCATCAGCATCTGAAGCACTGACAGTGGTCACGATCGTGCCCTTTGCAGCATTTTCAGCCACACTGCCCTTATATATGGGCTGTGTGAAAACAGGTGCATTGTCATTGACATCTAAAACTGTGATGAGGATCTGCATTGCTCCCGACATTTGTGGTTCTCCTCCATCTACAGCGGTCAGCGCCAAAGATATCTTCTCGTTTTTCTCTCTATCGAGAGGTTTTTGTAAGACCATTTCAACGTTCTTTGTACCATCGGCTTGGTTGTGCAATTTAAGCATAAAATGATCACTTGGTTTGAGAAAATATCTTTGTAGACTATTTATACCTACATCCAAATCAACTGCTCTTTCTAAAAAGAATTTTGCCCCGACAACTGCAGACTCGCTTATTAAGAATTTAATTTCGTTTTTTTCAAAGGTTGGTGCATTGTCGTTTATATCTGTAATTTCAACTGATACGCTGTAAAATTCCATAGGATTCTCTAACACAATCTGAAAATGCACAGCACACGGTGTCGTATCAGCGCACAACGCCTCTCTGTCTATTTTCTCTTTGATAAGGAGGACTCCTCTTTCGCGATTCAACTCGATGTACTCTCTGCTATCACCAGAATAAACACGAGCGTTACCCAACCTCAGTCGTTTAACATCCAAACCTAAATCCTGAGCTATATTACCGACTAGAGAGCCTTTCGCCATCTCCTCCGGAATCGAGTAGCTGGCCTGGCCATATACTGCACTAAAATAGAGGATCGGGATAAACAACAGTACTTGCCGTCTCATTGTTTGAAATAGTATCGGCAAGATGAAACAGCGATCTTGAAATATCCGTCAAAAAGATGAAAACGCAGTTACATAAAAACCAGAACAAATTCGATTGCCAAATTTGAAGCAAAAACATGAACGTTGTGTCTTGCAGTGCATAGATCCCTCAACAGAAGAGAATGCGATCTGCGTCCGCCCCTTCTCTCTAATACATCGAAATGAAGAGGCGGTACTGCTGTAAATGTCCGTTGACTGCGACACACTAGGCAACAGCGGCCCATCGAGTTCAGAAAATAAAACTGCAAAACACGTTTGGTGAGTAGAAATAGTAGAAAAGAGGCATTCAATTTGAAACCAATTTGCTATTATAGTTCCACAAAGAAGAAATGAAGTGTACCTAAAATAAAATCTAAAAATATGGTTAAGTATTTAAAATTAGTTGAATACATAAAACGTACACGGTTGCCCTTCTCTATAATAAAAAAGAACACCTCTCGCATTTAAAAAAACACCATGTTGCTCTCCGTGGTGCTGAAGAATAAGAGACCAAATATATTAAACAAAATACAAAAATATTAAAACATTGACGATAAGTTAAGGACTACACATTTCGTGAATCACCGTTCTAACCTCTAGTGGAGAGTCTGCTTCATCCAGGATGTTCTTCTCACTCTGTATCCGCTGCATCGTTCCTGTAGAACTGGGGTCCATTATCAGCACGTTCTGACTACCGACTGTGCCGAACTTACAGTCACTCTTTCTGGAGTCATTCGTCCTGCACACCTCGTAGTTGTACACGTGTGGGAGAGTCCCTGTCCCCAGAGTGTCTGAGTAACGTGGTGGATAATACGGAATCACAGGGAGATTGGAGTGATACAGGACGCGAGACTGTCTCCACCTGTAGATCTTCACCGATATAATAACCACTAAACACGTGATGAAGAGGAAGGAAACTACAGCCAAGGCCAACACTAAGTAGAAGGTCAGGTTGTCATTGTACTCCTTGTCTTGTGTGTAGTCAGTGAACTCAGACAGCACTTCGGGGAAGCTGTCCGCCACCGCCACGTTAACAATGACTGTAGCTGAACGAGAGGGCTGCCCGTTGTCCTCCACTATCACAGTCAGTCTTTGTTTCACAGCATCTTTATCAGTGACTCCGCGGATAGTTCTTATTTCTCCATTCTGTAAGCCCACTTCAAACAGCGCCCTGTCTGTGGCTTTCTGCAGTTTATAGGAGAGCCAGGCGTTCTGTCCAGAGTCCACATCAACAGCCACCACTTTAGTGACCAGATAGCCCACATCTGCTGAACGAGGAACCATCTCAGCCACCAGAGAGCCTCCAGTCTGCACCGGGTACAGAACCTGAGGAGGGTTGTCGTTCTGGTCCTGGATCATTACTTTCACAGTCATGTTGCTACTGAGTGGAGGGGAGCCTCCATCTTGCGCTTTGACGCAAATATTGAACTCTTTAATTTGCTCATAGTCGAAGGAACGCACAGCAAGTATCTGTCCACTCTCTGCATTAACTGAAAAATAAGCAGAGGCTGACCTTCCATTCAGCTGGCTATCCTCAAGGAAATAGGAAATGCGCGCATTGTTGGCATAGTCTTTGTCACTGGCTTTGACAGAAAGGAGTGTCATACCAGGTGAATTATTTTCAGTAATGAAAGCTGTGCTAAATGATCGGGAGAACATTGGGGCGTGGTCATTTATGTCCGATATTCTTAAATTAACTGTTTTGCTCGTAGAATAAGGCGGGGAACCCTCGTCCATTGCAGTTATAGTTATGTTATATTCCGGGACTGTTTCGCGATCCAAAATATCGTCAGACATCAGGCTATAAAAATTTGACGATGACGACTTAATTTTGAAAGGCATATCTTTGTTAATAAAACATTTAACTTGGCCATTTTTATCCGAGTCCGCGTCTTTGATATTTAGCATTGCTATAACAGTGTCTGGAGCTGAATCCTCCGGTATAGGATTAGAGAGGGAAATTATGCTTATTACAGGGGCATTGTCATTAATGTCGGTCACCTCAATCAGCACCTTGCTTGTGTCTGTCAGTCCTCCTTTGTCCATAGCTTCGATGTTTATTTCATAATGTTTAACTTTTTCATAATCTAATTTACCAACTACGGTTATTTCCCCAGTTTGGGGATCCATATTAAACAGCGATAATGCGCTATCGGTATGTTGAGAAAACGAATAGACTATCTTCTCATTTCCTCCTTCGTCTTTGTCATTCGCACTGACTGTTAAAATAACAGTGCCTGTAGAAGTGTTTTCAGGAACGGCTAATCTGTAAACAGACTGACTGAATGTTGGTGCATTGTCGTTTGCATCCAAAACGACAACATTTATTCGAACAAAACCCGATTTCTCAGGATTTCCGCCATCAAATGCTGTAAGCGTTAATTTATGTTCTTCTTGTTTTTCCCTGTCAAGTGAAGTGTGGAGTACCATTTCAATATATTTCGTGCCATCAGGCAGTGAGACAACATTCAATTTGAAATGATCTGTTGGGTTCAGTTTGTATGTTTGAACGGTGTTGTGTCCTACATCTGGATCTTTGGCACTCTCAAGTGAATAGCGAGCCCCTGGGGACGCAGATTCAATAACCTGGAAACTGTATTCCTTTTTGGAGAAAAACGGAGCATTATCATTAATATCTGTAACCTCTACATCAATTCGATGCAACTCCATAGGATTTTCTAGGATAATTTGAAAATGAAGAGAGCAGGGAGACACTTGATTGCACAGTTCTTCTCTGTCTATTCTCTTAGCCACCACCAAAGTTCCCTTTTCTGTATTAAGACCAATGTACTCACTGCCGTCCTCGGTAAATATCCTAGGTTTCCCAGATTTCATTCGTTTAACATCCAAGCCTAGATCCTGGATGATATTTCCAACAACCGACCCCGTTGTCATCTCCTCGGGAACAGAATAACGGACCTGCCCGAAAGCCATGTCTGCGACACAAATGCAGTAAAGCAGCAGCCACCACGACATGTATATTTTTTCGGTCGCACAGCCAAGAACACCAATCATGACGCGAGCCTTCGTACGATCCGTGTAGAAATACAAAACCACCGTATAAAAATCCAACCAAATGATAGGCGCACTACTGGCCGTCTTTGTCAGCCGAGTCACGATTGCAATAAAGCCCTGAAACACATCCGGCTGACGAGGGAGTACTTCACTCAGAAATTGAAGCGAATTTTCCTTAAACTAACCAACAGCGGCACATAGGGACTTCAGCAGAAACTGCATCTGGATCAATGTGGATTATATACAGTAGAACAAATACAGTAGAACGAATAGATATATCAATGGATCGATGGAAAAATAGATTGATGAAAATAAAAATAAATACAGACTCAAAAATAGATTCATGCATATAACATTGCCAGATGATGGGTCTCTGGCCATGGTACTGAACAATAAGGCGGTGGTTTTCTTACTAGAATCGCTAACCTCTAGAGGAGAGTCTGGTTCATCCAGGATGTTCTTCTCACTCTGTATCCGCTGCATCGTTCCTGTAGAACTGGGGTCCATTATCAGCACGTTCTGACTACCGACTGTGCCGAACTTACAGTCACTCTTTCTGGAGTCATTCGTCCTGCACACCTCGTAGTTGTACACGTGTGGGAGAGTCCCTGTCCCCAGAGTGTCTGAGTAACGTGGTGGATAATACGGAATCACAGGGAGATTGGAGTGATACAGGACGCGAGACTGTCTCCATCTGTAGATCTTCACTGATATAATAACCACTAAACACGTGATGAAGAGGAAGGAAACTACAGCCAAAGCCAACACTAAGTAGAAGGTCAGGTTGTCATTGTACTCCTTGTCTTGTGTGTAGTCAGTGAACTCAGACAGCACTTCAGGGAAGCTGTCCGCCACCGCCACGTTAACAATGACTGTAGCTGAACGAGAGGGCTGCCCGTTGTCCTCCACTATCACAGTCAGTCTTTGTTTCACAGCATCTTTATCAGTGACTCCGCGGATAGTTCTTATTTCTCCATTCTGTAAGCCCACTTCAAACAGCGCCCTGTCTGTGGCTTTCTGCAGTTTATAGGAGAGCCAGGCGTTCTGTCCAGAGTCCACATCAACAGCCACCACTTTAGTGACCAGATAGCCCACATCTGCTGAACGAGGAACCATCTCAGCCACCAGAGAGCCTCCAGTCTGCACCGGGTACAGAACCTGAGGAGGGTTGTCGTTCTGGTCCTGGATCATTACTTTCACAGTCACGTTGCTACTGAGTGGAGGGGAGCCTCCATCCTGCGCTTTGACGTGGAAGTGGAAATCTTTGATCTGCTCGTAGTCAAAAGAGCGCACAGCATGGATGACTCCACTATCAGCACTAACGGACACATAAGAGGAGACTGGCACTCCGTTAACAGAGGAGTCCTCCAATATGTAAGAAACACGGGAGTTCTGGTTCCAGTCAGCGTCTCTGGCTTTCACTGTGAATATAGAGAGACCTGGTGTGTTATTTTCTACAATATAGGCCTCATATGAACTTCTCTCAAATACAGGCGCGTTATCATTAACATCAGAGATCTGTAAAGTGAGATTGACGCTGCTGGAGAGGGAGGGGACTCCTTCATCAGAGCAGGTCACAGTTACATTATATTTAGAAGCGACCTCTCTGTCTAATTTACTGTCTGTAACGATGCTATAGAAGTTACTCGACGTAGGTGTGATTAAAAATGGGATATTTTTATCAATTACACATCGGACCTTTCCGTTTTCTTCAGAATCAGGATCATTTACACTCATATGCGAGCTACCACTGTGTTGGGAAGT